AATTTTTACCCTCGTTAATCGTTTTTTTCGATCCCATCCCACTCAAACTCACAGCTCTATTTAATTGAAACCTTGTTGAGTTATAACAATTTATAATTACAATATTGTCCGGCACTGTATGTTTCAAAAGATGTGTAACAACGACATTTAACGGAATGCTTTCGTTAATCTGCATTGAAACTTTATTTAATTTGATAAATAATACACAACTGACTCTCAATACAAAAAACTTTTTATAAAAGAAACTCTCGCACCACAATTTACAAATCCTAACTAAAAACTTATATATAACAAAAAGCCTTACAAAAAATCCATATACACGAACATGTTGATTTTCTTATATCAAGTGTCAGTTGTATAAAAGCTAATTTAAGAATATACAATTGAAGTCAAGATATTCAATATTAAGCTAATGATAGTAAATTTAACTGTGTTAATCCTATCAATTAGTCATTAATCTTCAAATAAGCTTACTTGGATCTAAGCTTCAATCTTAACTTCTTACAAATCTCATTACACTCATGATTTGCCAAGAAACACTTATCAATTCCTTCACGGCCTAAATTTGTCCGCCCAAATCTTAAATTATCAACACAGTGTATCGCCGGATCAGTTAATAAGAACTCGCCAGAAAGTTCAACACCTTGAAGATCACAAACTACTAAATATCCTCGAGTATGTTCATATGTAAAATGAGCAAATGCCTCAAGAGTAGGATGAAAATCTACAATTATTCCACTATTTGTGTTAAACCGCTTGAATTTTGCGTTTTGAAGTTCTGGTTCTACAGTATAATATTGAGTACCACCAGGCATAGCAACACGCACAAGATCTACACCAAGGAAATTTACAGGACAAATATCCTTTCTTTTTGCAATTATATTAAATCTTCTACAAAGGTAGGTCGTCACTGCAGAGATTTCAACAGCTTCAAGATATTTTTCGAAAGGATTCACTGATGCTGTTTTAAAATACTGTTTCATAACCATTTGTTTGGGTGGATTGTCGTTGGAGATCTTAAGTGCAAAATATGCATATTTTTCAATACCAGCAGAAAATGGTTGTTGTGCAATCTTGAAACAAAATTTTCTAGAAAAGAGTTGCTCTTTTCTAAAGGATCTTTGGTTTTTAAGTGCAGTTAGGGTCTTAGGAATGTAATAACACAAAGTTACTCCCGTTTGCAACGGAAGAGTATCCCAATTGGGTATATTAGGGTTTACATCAAGTTTTCGTCGTAAAGAATATATATTGTTGATTCTACACCCAATAGTACTGGTTAATGAAACAGATGTTGTAATAGATGCTGTGGTAGCTTTAACAAATTTGTTAATTAAAAATGTTCCTTGTGAAATTTACGAGTAGGCAGCATCATATCCTAATATTAACCTAACTACTGTATAACATGGTTTTTCTTAATTTTATATGCAACTTTTTACTTAGAAAACAAACGTATTTGTTTTGGCTATCATATTATAATTTTTGTGGGAATGCTACCAAAATTTACCATCGCCAATTGACAAAAAAAAATAGAAAAAATGTACTTCAATAATTGAGATAATTGTGTCATACTACATTTATGTTAGGGCATATATATTTAGAGTTTAACACTGCGATTTATTTGACATGAACAAATAAAACAAATACTACATTGTAATTATTCGATCGATACTTTTAATCATAGAGTCATCTCTAAAAACTATACCCTCCATCACCGTAATAACATTTTTATGTTCAATATCATTTTTCTTATATAACTCGACATCATCATCTATTTCAAAATCACTATCATATAATTCTTGTTCAATTTGTTCGACATCACCATTATCTTCTTGTTCTGCCGTTTCGGTATCTGGTCCCTTCTCAGTAACAACATCAACATCATGATCAATTACATCATAATCATTGGCATCATTAGTATTTTCGATGAAATAATCAAAAAAATTATTTATAATTGACTTTGTAGTATATAAAATAATGCCTAATCTTAGAGCTTCATTTATCGCATTATTAGTGTATCCTAACGGGTTTACTAGAAATCCAACATATGGCATTGATCTTTCTGCTAAAATAGATGCAAATTCTCGGACTTACTTTTCTCCGCACTTGTTCTTGGATCTATGTCTACAAGCGACGATGAATTTGGTCAACTTATATTCACCCATAAATTGTATTCATTATTTCCAATCATAAAGGGTGAAACATGGAGCCGATTACGTTCAAACAAAGACCTAATGGTATTTCAATATTCTTCACTGTTTATACAGTAAACCTATCATGTATACATGAAAAAAAAGGTGAGTATTTCGTGTCATCATCACATCCTTCTTAGTCTTATTGGTAGTAGTTTCAGAAACGCAAGGATCTACACGGGCGATTACACAGGATTAGTAGTCACTGGTCTCATTCCCGCAGCATAACTTACATCCTCGCGTATGTTAAACAATCATACTCAATAAGATAAACTTACTCGTTCGCGAGAAAGCGACCCTTCTAACATATTTCTCTAAAGGACCGAAGGAAGGAAGGATCGAATGAACGAAGAACCGAATAAGTAACAAAGCAAGCGAAGAACTAAATAAGTAACTAAGCGAGGGCAAGACTAAGTGTGCGAAGAACCAAATAAGTAATTAAGCGAGCGAAGAACCGAATGTATAACTAAACGAGAGCAAGCGAAATGCTGAAGAACCAACTGGATAAGTAACTAAACGAAGACAAACTAAGCACGCAAGACCAAGTATGAAAAAGTTCATTAAGCCTCATATTTATATGTTTTTATCAGTCTCTATATCAGTACTTATGTATATATTTTTCAGTATTCATAACGATAAATGCAACCCTTAAATGCACAGCCTCAAAAATAAACTCAGATACGTCATTTTTTTGTTGGAGGGTTTTTTTTTCCTATTTTTCGCTTTGCCAATTCAGAGTCCGCCATGGAAATTTCAAACATGTAATGAAATTTTTTTATTTTACTTTTTGTTTAGCAGTCTGGAAATATACCAAAATGGACATTGAAGTTCACATAATAATCAACCAATCAAATTGTTAAAATTTAATAAACTAGATCAACGACGAAGTAAAAAAGAGAAAACGCGAAAAATATCGAAAACGGTAGTCTAAACTCATCTTGGTGCATTAATAAAACATGTCGAGAAGGCTAATATTAATGAAGAAACGTCATGACATGTATTATACCCTGCTTTAATAGGTTTTACTTATTTTCGTGAGCCGATTTTGTAATTAAACTGTCATGAAATAAAAAATTTAGAGTTAGGGCCTTAACGTTAGAGGTTGTAGAAACAGATTAACCCTTGTTATATGTAAATTTTCATTCCTGACATTTTTAATTAGTGTATCAAGGTCGATTTAAATACTAGTTTTTGAGTATTTTCACTTTTTTCTTCTTTTCATGTGTTCGGATTCTATATTAGCTATGCTATGCATTACTATTGGAAACGTTAAAGCCAGGTGCGTTAGAATTACTTTTTTGATGCAGTAATGGTGAGAGGGTTATGTAAATATCAAGAAGATAATTTGTGCAGCATGTAGATCATTTCCAAGTTTATACCCAATGCACCTTGTTTGATTTTCTACTCAGAAAATATCAAATATTGTCACATATCATAATTTAAAATGAAATCTACATTTTCTACTCAACCTGTTAACCTTCTAAAACCCACTTATACTTGTTTATTATAACTTTACTTTAAAACTAACCTCTAACCCTAACCCCCTATTCCTAAAAAATGCACACCAAAAAATTTTATTTTTCGAGATTTTATATTATAATTTCATTTTGATCTGGATTTCATTATGATCTGCCACAAATATTAGTTTATATCATACAGTCACTATTTTTGTCCACCATGCGCTTTAAGGACTTCTTTTTATGATATAAGGATGTCGATCAGCAAATTCCAATATTTGGACAGTATATAGATGAAAAATAACAGGAAATTTTTTTCATTGTGCATGAGTGAAAGCAGTGAAAGCACAAATGATTACGTAATCTCGTGCCAAAAATATCATGACAAAAAAATTTTATTTTGCTTAATCATGCCTTTAACAATTCTGTATTATAATAATTAATTTGTATGTATCATTAAACAATGCTACCCGTATATAGTATGCCACCCATATATCAATTTGTAATCTAAATCTAATTTGAATGTCTTAAGTGTTTTCTTTTGTAAATTATATTAAATTAAAATATGAATATTGTAGATACAAAGTTCTAAGTTAACTGATAACGATTTTTAACTTGCTACACGAAGTAAATATCGGTTTTCAATATTTCATTTATTTTAGCAAAAGATTTACAAGAGATTTTTTGAGATAATTAAAACTAAAAATCTTAAACTACATATTAAAATTATCAATATTTTTTTTCAAATTGTTGATTGAGGAATAAAAGCTAATCAAATTCAAGAATCTGTTTGTAGAATGTGATTTCCTAATTTGGGGGCGTCTAAAGCGGAGTAGATTCTTATAATACTGTATATATATTTTATTGAATTAACTTTAGAATAGAGTAGATTAGGTTTTAAGTAGTTATATATATGCAAAGTTTCCTTCCCGATTTTCTTGATTTGCGATCATCAAACCTCTATAATTTGATTGGACACACATCACGTGATTATACTCCGACCCCTAATTTGGCATAATACTGTAAACGTATAAAAAATATCATATAAACTAAAACAAGCAATTAAAAGGTATATAACTTATTTTATATACTTTAGAGTACTTTTACAGTTTTAAGAAATCTGATATTATACGTATACCAATTTTTATATAGGTCACTGTTAAAAAAAATCTCTAATAATTTAAGATCTTATTTAAGTAGTGTTAGTTTAGTAACGACTTTTTATTAAAATGGCCATTTGTAACTTCAGAACTTTATACAATACAGTAATACAGTAAATAGTTAATATTTAAACAGCGAATCATATAAAAAATCTTTCTATCTTTATAACGTACGTACATACATATATTTAGTTTTCTTATTACAAGCCATTTTAATAACCATATAAATAATTTTCTTGTGTATCTTTACTTTTATATCTCGTAACTGTTTATCTGATTCAGTTATTTTTGTTAGAATATATCTTCATTACTCTGCCATTCTTCAAAAATATTACTGTAGAAATTTCTGCTGCTGGCGGACTTTCATTAAATCTGCATTGTATAGTGCTATATTGTAGACCATACTTGTACGTATCTAAAATTGTTAACTTGGATTTCTGTGCAGGTTTATCATATAACATCTCCCATATCGATATGATTATGCCAAAATAGTAAAATTTCGGATGCTTATGGACGTTTGTTCGAAACTTTAGGTGCGATATAAGGTAAAATTCATAAATTCTATCTGATTTTAATGCAATACAAGAGACTGCTTAAGGATTATAGAGATTTATTTGAAATGAGTATCCTATAATGTAATCAAATGATATGTAAGATAGTGCTAGATTATCAAACGTCTTTAATTTAATGAATGTGTGAAGACCGATGAGGTGCCAATGTTTGAAAATAAGGATGACATTGAAAGTTTTTAAAAAAAAATTCAAGCAGAATTTTGGGAATTTTGATATTTTATGATGGTGGATTTCTTTATATTGATTAAAATTATTTTACATTACTATAAAAATTGTCTGATTTTCTTTTGACATTAGGAATTTGTTTTTCCAATAAATTCATATCCGGCAAATCCACAAGATCCACCACCACCGATTAGTTCAAGTTTATACATCTTTTTCTGATAGACTATATACTCCTCGAGATAATAAAAATAAGCTTTCAGTTGGTATATAAGGCGGATATGGAAAACGTCACATTATCTCTAAAGAGTTGACACAGGACAGGATGTTAGAGAAATTGTTAGTGCATGTAAAGACATTGCCCAGGCATAAAAGTATTTAAGCTTCTGTGATAAAATTTGAATAGATCGATATGTGGAGATAGTTGGGAATCGAATTTCTACAGTATGGACATTCGTGGTCTTTATACTATAAGATCAATCTCTACAAATTTAACTGATGTATCATCACAACCAACGGGTTATTCAAAAATATCATTACAGAATTGGTGATGCTTTATGGGACTGAGGAGGAAAATAATCTAGATGATCAAAGTAATGACAGATTTTATTGTACAAGAATGCTTATTCTATTAATCTAATACAAACTCAAAAAAAATTTTTTTTTGACACACGCAGACAATAATTTTCTACCATCTATTGATCAGAATTCGGCAGTAAATCAAGACAACTCAGATACTATATGAGCTCCTTATGCTCGTTCAAATTCCTCTTATTTATCCATAAATTCAAAATCCTATTTAATTTCAAAATGCGTCACTTATTTATTAATTTGAACCCCCCTAGTATATTTATCTTTAAGCATTCAATTTCTACTTAGGATCCAAAATTCATTTAAGTAAATCTATGCAAGAGAAGAACATTACTATTATTACGTTAGCATGGAAAATATTCATGGCAAAAAAATGTCGCGATTACGCAATTAACGATCACTTCCGACTTCTTTCTGACTTCTTTGATGTAGCTCGATTGATTATACATTACACGAAAACTATATCGATAACAGTATTATTAAGATTATCTGTTCGAAAACGATTGTCTATCACGTGATCTCTGCATTTTTTTGAACCCCTGTAGCTCCGGACAGGGACACGGAAATTTTTCGAAAGCAATTTTTTGAAATAATTTGAAATTTTTTAGTTAAATCAAAATTTTTCGAAATTTTGACCAAACTGATCAAAATTTCTCGAAATTTTGGCAAAATTATCAAAAAGTCACATGCATTAAATATTATTGGCCAAAATCAATCACATGAAAATAATATTATTGGATACAAAAAATATATTAATGATGAACATCTAATCAAAAAAAAAACAAAAATTGCAAAGACTTGCTGTTTTCTTTGAAACTAACCACTTAGGTTAGAAGAAGTGAAACTTTACCTTTTTTTGTTTGATCACTATAGCCTTTAATGAAGAAAGGTGGGTTCCTGATTATTTTCCTGAAACTCATGAAATAATTAAATCAGCTAAAAAGTATGACCTTCAGGTCAAATATTACTCCATACATCTGCCAGAAAGAATTTCTAAATACTTTTAATATTCTTAATAATACATTGGTGTGTATTTAATGTGGACATTCGGTTAGTTGAAAGCAAAAAATCAGTATTATCACCCATGTTAATTATAAAACCCATATAAAAAAACAAAAAAAATTATGAAATAGCAGCTCAATATAGATAGTTTCAAACTTTGGAGGATTTTATATCTGTGGCAGAGTCTAAAAAAATAGTGATGAAAGATCTTGTAGAAGCTTTTGTTAAGGTGAATATACCTTTAGAAAAAGTGGATATACTGCAACCATTTTTTAGAAAACATTGTAAAGAAGGAAGTTCAGTACCAAAAGTCGATACATTAAAATGACCTTATTTGTTCAGAATATATCAGCAATACATTAAGGATTTAAGAATTATCTTTCAAGACAAGCTTGTGGCTATAATCATAGATAAAACGACAGATAGTTGAGCCCAAAGTGTTGTGAACATTTTGTTCAATTATCGCAAAAACACCAAGCTTGTAGTAGTTGATTACTTAAATTCTGTTAACAATACTACTATGGATCAGCTAATTATTAAAACATTATTTGAATGGTTTATACCATTTAATTGTCTATGTCTTTTAGTATCTGATTTGTCCTCTTATATAAAAAAAAGTTATTGTGAGGTCCTTAAACTAATTTTATCACAATTTGGTCATTTACCCTGTTTAGCACATATTCTTAATCTTATTAGGTAAGGATTTTTTTTAATTTACTTATAATAATATGATATATTGTATTTTATTTAATTTAATTTTTTATTAATTAGCCAAGTATGGGTATTGATTCCGCAAATGGGTTTAGTTAAAACCTTATATTAAATATCAAAAAAACATTTGTTTATGCAAAAGCAAGACGTATATAATATATCAAGTTTTTAGTAAGAAATGGAGTTCAGAATCCAATGAATATTCTACTTTATGTAGATACTTGTTAGAATTCATAGTTTCAGATAGCGTTCTACGTAAATGATCATTATCAACATATTTGAAACTTTTATTTAGAAGAACATTTGAATGATTCAAATGAAACGGTTGATAAGTTATTCGAGTTTTTTAATGATACATCGAATAATAGTTGTGCGCAAATCTATCTTTCTTTTATTAAACTTTATACGCAACAATTTATTAATGATTTGAATTTTTTTCAACACGAAAATCTTCCTTTATTTTCTTATATTGAGGGACAGTTGGATCAATTAGAAGTTTACATTAATAATAGAACACAATTAGAAAATTTAGATAGGTCTTTAATTTCTTTAATTCAAAATCTTAATTTTGATCCCCAAGCATTTTTACTAATATTTAGGTCAGCTTATGATGCTGCTTCAAAAAAATTTAATGATCATATTTCAAATCACCTCTTTTGTGTGCTTTTTAAAACATTGCAAATATTTGATCCAAAATTCATTAATATTACTTTGTCTAAAGATATTCTTTCTTACAGTGTTTCAATTCGTAAATTTTCAGATCTTCCATATAAACTTATTCAAGAATAGATTAGATATTGTAATTTGGATCCACTTTTAATAGAGTATTCGAATTTAGAAGAATTTTGCCAAAAAATTTCATATAATTTACCTCTTTTAAGCCAAATTGCTTTAGATTATATTTGGTTACTACTCTCATCATATAGCGTAGAACATAGCTTTTCTGTTTATAATAATATTTTGAATGAGGATAGAAAAAATTTAAGCCAAGATTCTCTTCAAATGCTTAATATTTTATATTATAATTGTTCAAAATTATCATTTTAAATAGTTTTAAATAGAATTAATAAAACTGAATTGAAAATTTTGCTTAAAAATGGTTAAAATTTTTATTTTTGTTTAATCAAAATAAATCGAATTTTTCACTCAAATAGCTTGAAATAAATCAAAATTTTTACAAAAATCGATTGAATTTTTCTGTGTCTCTGACGGACACATATCAATTTACATGATTATATACGTACCTATTATAAATCTAAAACCTATTATGTGCTAATATACTAATCCTAAAGTTTGGTATGTGTAATTGGTATGTGTTCGTAGACACTTATCCACAAAAAATTTTCTGACACATGACTTTAGCCAATCAGATAAAAGGATCAGGTGTAATGTGAAAATCATGTTTTTTTAAAAAAGTACTAATAACTTGAAATTTTGGCTATAAAACTGCCTTCTGCGTTCTAACAAAAAAAATTTCTTGTGAAATTTTGATATAAGTTATATTCTTTCTCAGGTATACATGCCAACAAAATTATTTTAGATTTCGGAGTATGAAATTAAAATTTGAAAATGAAATTGTTTTTGACCTACTTTACTTAAAAGACGAAATTTTTTGATACTTTTTTTGAAGAGACGAAATTATAAAGAATATAACTACCTAAATTAGATTTGCTATTGCATATAAAAAATTCCAAATTGCTCTAATAGAGACGAAATAGATGTTTTTTGAAAACCTATTTCGGTGGCATATATAGACAAGAGTTCAAATCCCATTGGTGATGAAATTCGAATTTTACAGAATGTGTTACAACAAACTGTGTGTAATCTGATGGATCAGCAAATCTGTAAACTTGGTTGTACTAAGGGTTATTGGGAAGCTGTGGAACTGTAGTGTGATGCATAAGTTACACAAAATTTAAGTGAAATGGCTGTGTAAATCCAGATATTAGGGCACACGGAAGCCCGCTTGGCAAGTCCTGAGTAGAGAGATAGTACGGATATTCAACAGTACTATGTAAAAGGCTATCTAAGTGATCCGGACACTAATTTCAGTAGTTTGGACGAGGACTGGTGTTTGGCAAGACACTATACCAACCAGGCCGCCAGATGAGTAACTGGAGGAAAAAAACCTAACTGTGGGTACTAGGGGCAGATCACAGCCTATCTGGGCTATCTGGATTGGGAGTTTAGATTACTGACAGAACTTAGGTACTGGTAATAGTCTGTAAAGTGTGTGCTGGGGTTTCAGTAAACTTTACAAGGTTAGAAGTAGATAACGATAGCAGCTTTGGCTTACAAAACTTGTCCTCAAACTCGGCGTAAGTTACTGAAGTCTAGATTAGCTAGATTGTAGGTATAAAAAGCT